AGTAGAGAGAGAGAGAGAGAGAGAGAGAGAGAGAGAGAGTTTTGCTACAAGTCACAAGCTAAGATAGTGAGTGAGAGAGAGAGAGAGAGACTTTTAGTTAATTTGACGCGTCAAGTTTTGGGGTCCAGACGCGGAACAAATTAACACTGAAAAACGCAAAAAGCTTGCGGTCAAGAGACCCACGGGAGGGAGGAACGAGAGAGGGGTTTTCTAGGGGAACAACTAGAAAAGGACTGAGAGAAAGAGAGAGCACTAAAGACTTTGAATGGGACAAGATTGGGGTTACGATCATAGTTCAGCAAGTCTCCGATTACAGATTTTTTTTTTCTCTGATTTTTTGTAATGTTAAGAACTTCAAGTTTTTTTTTAAAAGATCTTCAAAAAAAATTATATAAGTCCATTTTTTATCTGTCTCAAAAAAATTCTTCCCTGTTGAAATTTCAATTCTCTTTATTGATTTAATATTTTTCAATGTTGTTTTAGAGATAAGCATATGAAAAGTAGGATTCGATTAAGAATGTTGATTTAATAAAGAAAAACTCTTAAAAAATTTATTTTAAATGTTCCCCTAAACGAAGCACAGTGAAAATAATACGAGCACTATATTCCCAAAAAAAATTATTTATTAAAACAACCATATATCTTAAAATAAGAGGTAGAGTAAGAGGAAGTGTACCCAATAAAAAAATCTTCTTTTTCTCTAAATCCAGAGCATCGTTATAAAGAACAGGAGAGAGATTTAGGAACAATAAAATATTTAGGTAGCTGCAAATTTAAGGTAAGATTCAAATATCTTTTTTGTTTTGCTTAAATATATTTCTTCATGCATTCAGAAGTTTTATTGATTTCACCTTTCAAGTTTTTATGTGGTTTCATTGGTGTATACCATACAACATTTTGGATGGACCATTTGCTTTGCATTTTTAGGTTTGGTACTTTAGTTAAGTGCAATCTTACATCGATCTTCTTTTCTAATTTTTTCTTCTAATAATAATCCTACACCTTGGTTGGTGTATTGTTTTAGTTATTTGCTTACGTGGTTCTTGTGTTTAGAATTGTTTTTCTTGTTTCTCTATGTAGTCCCAATAAATCTACCGTATGTTGCGACAGTAAAGTAAAGTAAGCATTCTTGTTGCATCTAATGAAAATTTATGCAAAATTTTAGGATATTAAATACGGATATAATATTATTATTCAATGACTGTAATGCCTCCATATAATACCTGCAAATGATAGTCTTATCTTATGTCATATTCACATATTTGATTTTTTTGCTCAGTTTTTTGGCCAAATCTGAAAATTCACTATTATTTTAATTGCCTAATTTTTTGTGACTCATATTCTTGACCTGATTTTTTACCCTCTGACTTTTTTGAACAAAACCAATTTACCTACGAACTTGCTAACTATGGTTACGGTGCACAAACATGGAAAAAACAAAGAGAAAATTGACATAATTCTTAAATCCCGCCTTGGCCCTCTTTTTTATTTATTTTTTACTGGTATAAGAGCTAGAGAAATTTTGAATTTCATCGCTCAATGTTTATAATTTTGGAACATTATTTCATGTGGCGGGGATATATTTGCAGGTCCCCGAGGTATAAAGCATCTATTTTAAAGATGGATACTAATAAGTGGTTCACTTAAAAATAATTGAAAATAAATATTTTTAATAGAATTATTGTTTTTAATTTTCAAATTTTTTTTATTTTTTCATATTCATGATCTCCATGTTAGAGATTATGTGTCCATAAAAACTAGGTAAAAAAAAAAAACCATCTCAAAAATAGAATTTTAAGAGATGACTCATTTCTACATGGACACTACAATTTTTGGGTACAGAAGAGAAACAGTGTACATGTTTTAAAAATGTGCCTATGTGGGGTTCTTTTGCATTTGATTTCTTGGGTATGAGAGGAAGATAGAGAGAGAAGTGGGATGGGACTCATTTCTACATGAAAATGTGTCCTATAATTTTTTAGGTACACAAGGGAAACAGTGTACATGTTTTAAAAATGTGCCTATGTGGGGTGCTTTTGCATTTTATTTGTTGGGTATGAGAGAGAAAGATAGAGAGAGAGAGAGAGAAAGATGGGATGGGGCCAAGTGTGAGTTGGGACTTGGGAGTTTGAGAGCCTGAAACCTAGGTTTGAGCTGAACTAAGAAACCTCATATTGGTAGGTAAGGACCACGTTATCACGGGTGGCGTAGAACAAAAGTGTTATAAGGTTTGAGGAGGGGAATGCGGCCAAGTTTAGGGCGTGAAAGTGCAGCATGAGAATCAAGATCATCAAAGACAATCTAGACCGTTCATCTTCCTTGCTTCACTAAGTCCTTGTTTTGTTTTTACTTTGAGAAAAAGTCTTATCTCGCTTTTACGGGGCCAACCAGTGTTCGCAAGCTTGGCCTGTCCAACTTGGAACCACCGGGTCAAATCAAAACCGGGCACTAACCCTGTTTTTTTTTTTTTTTTCCCTAGATTTGGTGGTCCCGCTAGATATTTTCAGTAAAATTCCAACAAATTATATAAAATTCTAAAAAAAAAATTGTAATGTGTTTTTTTTTTAAGGGCGCGGTTTCTATAAGGTTGTAACTTTGAACGATCCAATTAAGGCGCTCCTCCAAATTTTATCATAACATGTAATTTTATTGTACTTTTTTTTTAACATTCTCTTAAAAACGATTTTCATATTTAATTAGAAAATTTTAGACTCCAAAAACGGTTAAAATCAAGTAGATCTATAAACATAGAAAAATCTTGAAAATGGACGGTCTAGATAATGTGTTACAAGATACACTATTTGTACAACTCAAAAACGTTTTTTTTTTTTAATATTCTTACATCTTGATGTCGAGATGATCAATTAGAGGATTTTTAAACATTAAAACAGCCTTTCCGATAGATTTTTGAGGTGTATATGTGATTCTACATTTTAAGGTAGCAACCTTATATAAAAATTTTCTTTTTTTTTAATGTTTTTTATCATTTTGACAAAGATTGGAAATTGTTTTGCATATGAATACTTATTTTTCGTATTTTCCTTTTTTAAAAAAATTTTCAAAAATACCTTTAAGCACAAATCGATTTTCTAAAATCCTTTTTTTTCTTTTTTCAACTTCATTTATTTCGTTTAATCATGTTTTAAATATACTTTTCATATTTTTTAGATTCTTAATTTCTACTTTTGGACCAATTAGAAATTTTTTCGTTAGGTCAATTAAACCGGCTGGTTTACCGGTTACTCGGAGCTGGCCATTGGCCAGTTGCAGAGGCCGGTTCACAGGCCCAACTGCTTTCTAAGGCTTCAAACTGTTACAAGGAAGTCAAGAAGATCTGGACCATTCAACCGTTCGCTTGAAGAGCCTTGATTTGTCGTTTTTCTTTGGCTATCTTGATCTTTCTTCTTCTTCTTTTTGTGGTGAGGCAAAGTTATCTAAATTTTAAAGGGTTAATTTTTTGAGGCTTTAAGCATTCAGAGCCTATATAAAAGTATTGAATGAGAGTCAAGAAGTTCTTAAATGCGATCTAGACCGTTCGTGCTGG